GAGGGGAGGCTGCGCCCCCGCGCGAGTCCGAGAGCCGGGTGCCCCGGAGGGCGCGGGACGCGTGAGAGCCTGAGAGCGGAGCGCGGCGAGGCCGGGGCTGAGTCCAGAAGAGGGCGGACCTCTCCCCGGCTTATAGCAGAAGGGGGCCTGTCACATGGTGCGCACGTCAGCGCGCGGCCGGGGGAAGGGAAAGGAAGCCGAGGAAATCGGCTTTGCTCGGGAGAGAAAGTTCACCCGCAGGAGGGGCCGCGGTGGAAGAGCGCACCCTACTACTGGGGCCTGAAGGGCGGGCTGCCCACGGTGGCTTGTTAAGCGACTTAGGGTTCCCGGCCTGCGTCTCCCCAGTGAGCTGTCAGCCCCCAGCTCACAAGCCCTCCGGGGCACCGAGGGTTTGCCCGCGCGCTCGCCTGCCGGAGTCGCCCCGCTGGGTAAACCACCTGTCCGTCCTCCCTGTAGCCCGGGAGGGTTCGGGGCTGGTGGGTGTCCCAACTCCTCCGGGTTGGGCAAGCGGCTCCCCCCTGAATCTGGTGAGGGACCTCCCTCCCCCAATTTAAACACGATAATGATTGTTTATTGACCCTTTCACCTGCTCCCTTCGGTAAGGCGTTTGCTTTCCACCATCTGTTAATAAAAGTGCTGTTAGGCTTTCGTTCTTGGTCACTTATCTGCAAGTGAATGCCGTAGAGGCTTGACAGCCAAGCTGCTCCACACTGATGAGGGGTCCCATAAATTCCACCACTATTACTTTATTCCCATGAAGAGATAATTGATTGAAGAAAAGAAACGTAAAAATTTAGTAACAACTCACACGTACACACACATAATGGCGCCTAGGAACTGAAAAATTAGCTTTCATATTGGGGGAGAAACTATAATTCTCAATAAAGGGAACATTTTAAGCATTTCACAGTATTTCTCAAAATACTTAAATTATTGTAGCGTGGGCATGTTTCTACCCAAGCAGGCTTAATAGAAACTACGACGATAAGCAACTAAGACCAACTTTAAGATGGGTTTTTACAAAGTCCATTAAATATTTCCAATATTTTGGTGGAAAACGAAATTTTCTAAACTGTAAGATGCAAATTCCATTCAATTCAATTTTCTTTTGCAGGTGACAACGTAGTGGAAATAATTTTAAAATGATGCTATTTTAAGGATACTTATCATCAACTAAATTAATTATTCTGGCCAATGGAAAATCCCGAGAGTATGTGAAATTCATATTCCTACGGCCCTACCTTCTGGAGTTTTGCATTTCCTAAAATGTTTCTATTTCAAAGTGGGGACTTTGCCTGAAAAGTTTAACATTCTGATTAAAATGGCCACTCGGCAAGAAGTGGAAATCAAAATTCAATGGCTTTCTCTGGGAACCATCGTCAGCTGCCCTGGTATATATCATTTTATAAACCAAGTACTTCCCGCCTTTTGAAACGTTTCGTTACTCCTGTTATTAGTCACAGAGCTTCAAAAATAAATTACTCTCCCACCTCAGCCTTCTTTTAAAATTGGGTTTTTCTGCCTGGCTATATGGTTACCACCAGTTAAACTTACAAATGACCCAAAAAGTCTGTCGTAGATCTTTGAAAGATCTATGAGAATGCCTCAAAGTTCTAAATAAATTATTTTTCATTGACTCTGATTTGATATATGGCCGAGCCATTTAATTATTGTAATGGGCTCGGCATTAACCCGAGCCAACATTAATCAACACTATTAATCAGGCATCACATTGTTTTGTTGACGTAGCCAGGCGTCCGTACGAAGTTCACTTTTGCAGCGGAAGCTTTAAGTTTTCTAAGAGCTCAGTCGATGGCTAAATAAACACCCTGATTTTCTCAGCACTGAGGGATGCTGCGTGGCGAAGTACTGAAAACGGGAGAATTTGCTGCCCTCACTTATTTTTGATGACCTGTTACGGTCGTCATTCTGCTCAGGGTTCCCACCGCCCTGAACCTGTCTGTCCAAAAAAAAAAAAGGAGCGGGAAATAGACTGCGCCTTCCGTGCGTCATTTTCCTCGGGTTCCTGCCTAAAGAGGTTAAAGAGCGCGTCCCTGGGAACGTTTGGAAAACTTGGCCCAGTGTCTCCTTGCCGTTCAGGGCGAGGTGCGGGGGTTTCCCGGAGGTCAGAGCTGAAGCCCCAGCCGGGGGGCCGCTGGGGACCTGAACATTAGGGGCGCGCGTTCCTGCGGCCCCACCTTTGGGCGGGCCGCCGGTTCTGTTTGCTTTCGTTAAGCTGCACGTCTGTTTGCGAACTTTCGCTCCGCCTTCGTGAGGTTCCCGAGCGCCGAGACCCAAGGGTTCTGTCTTCCGTCTCCCTCCAGTGCCCCGGGTCCCCCACCCCGGACCTCCCTGCTTGCCAGGCGCGCAGATTTCGGCCGCAGATGGGAACTCTCCACCCCACCCCGGGCCTTCCAGCTGGAGCGGGGACCGGAGCCTTCCGCAGGCGCTGGCCGAGGGGGAGACTGGGTGACCTCTGCCCCCAGCGCGCCCCGCCGGCTCGGACGCGGACGGTGCAGGGCGCGGGTCCTTGCGCTGCCCGGGCCTGGGACAGCTGCCCCCTGGCGGCGACCGGGCGCTGGCCCGAGCGCCCGGGGACTGCCGAGCGCAGAGCAGCCGGCGTGGGGCGAGCGCGGCTGCCAGCTCCCGGGACCCTCCCGCTGGGCTTGGGGCCCGGATTCCTGGACTGCAGGTTTCGGCTCCACGCCACACCTCGAGAGTGTTTGCGCGCCCCAGAAGTGCGCCGAGCTCCAGGCCCGGATCACCAGGATTACGCGCTGCAGAGCCAGGGAGCCCGTGAGACTAAGAGGCTCAGCCTCGGGCCTTTGTCCTTGCGCTCCGCTATGGAGAGCGCCACGGTCCTCGGGGCCTCCTTCGGTGGGCAGAGGCTGGCAGACACAAGGCAGGACGGACCGTGATTGTGTTTTTATCTTCGCGGGACATGTGGGGTTGCGACCCTCCTACAAAGAGCCACCCTGTAGTCCTGCATTTAGATACTGCCCTGTGCGGGAACTCAGCCTCCAGGGCAGACAGGTGCACCGGGAGCCCTTGCGCCGCCAGCGACAGGAGCTTCGCGAGCTCGCCGCCACCGTCAAGGATGCTGGAGCCGCCGCAAGTGAGTTCCGCGTTTGCATCCTGCGCTGCCCTTCTACCTTCCTCCTGTGTGCGCCTTTGCTTCTCTTTCTAGAAAACCGAGGATTGAGCTCCCTTCTTTTTTTGCTTGTGGTTTTTTGAGGAGGCAGGAAGACACACATAACATATGGTTTCCTATTTTAATCATTTTAATGTACAGTTCAGAGGTATTAAGTACCTTTGCGTTGTTGAGCAGCCATCGCACTATCCACGTCCAGAACTTTTCCATCAACCGAAACTAAAATTCTGTGCTCATTTAAGAAAATAATTCTCTACTCCCCTACCCACCCGTTTATCCCCCAGCTGCTGTAACCACTGTTCTACTTTCTGGCTCTATGAACTCGTGTGCTATAGATGCATCATATAACTTGCAAAGGTGCAATATTTGCCCTCCGTGTCTTAGTTCACTTAGCGTAATGTTCATGTGTGGGAATTTCTTTCCTTCAAAGGCTGAGTAATATTCCATTGTATGGATGTACCACATTTTTGTTTATTCACTCATCCACTGACGAACATTTAGATTATTTTCTCCTTTTCGGATTTTCAACTTCCACTCATATCTTTGTAACACTACATGCAGTAGTTGCTCAATAAATTTTTTTTAAAAAACAATCGCTTTTGTGCACCTCTCCCACACCCAAAATTCCAAAGAAATCACCTTTTCCCAACAGAGCACACACATGGGAATGGTATCCACTGTGGCTGCCTACAATAAGGGAGACTAGCCCTTCTGGGTTTCGAATGTTAACTTGTTCACAATTTTGAGACTTTCATATACAGATGCTAGACATTATCTTCAGTAAAAATGTACACTTTAAGATTCCCCAGAATTCTCTCCAGACAAAACTGTGATCATCCCCAAGCCTGCCCCATGCTTTTCACACCCTTTTAATGCCTTCCTACCTGTCCCAATCCTCAGGGGCTCAAAATGGCCTTAAAGCACCCTCCACTTTGGCACTGTAGTATAATGTCGTACTTCCCACTAAGCTAATTTCAAAGTCACAGCAGCTGTTGAAGTGAGCACCTCTATGTGGTGGCTGAGGGGGTGGGCTCTGAGAGTGGCAACCGGCCCTTGTGGGGTGGTAACAGAACCCTCTCCATGCTCCTGTCCCAAGTCCAGCAGCCTCTCCAGGTGGGACTTCGTGGGCCACACTTCCTCCATCTCTGACCGCTGTAGGAGCTTAAAAATCTCGTTGATAGAAGGTGTGTTGTGACTTGTGACTAGATGTCCCCCCAAAGCCTCATGCTTCATATGTGGGACCTTTCAGAGGTGGCTGGATCTAGAGTGTGTGAGGCTGGGGTTGATTCATGGTGCAATGCTAGGATTAAGGGCACTGGAACTAAGGGTGTGATTACTAATTGGTTTGTCACCTGCCCTAAACCAGGTAACCAAGCTAGAATATAAGCGGGGCAGAAAGAAGCTGCTACTGTCGCTAGTGGTTTGCCACCATCTGCCTAACAGGAGCTGTTTCTCCTCTGCCATGCCCCTCTGCCTTTGAACCTGCCAACTGTGAAGTGAAACCTCTACACACTGTGAGCTAAAAAAAAAATCTTTCCTCCTTTGCCTTTGGGTGTTGGGTGTTTTGTCTCAGCAGCAAGAGAAGAGTAACTAAGACACCCTTCATGGCCTTTTTTTGCTTTGGGGGAAAGCCAGACGTCTCACAGTGCCAGACTGGGTGAATAAGGTGGATGGGAACACACCATAATGTTTTTGTGAGCCTGCTCGACCTTTCAATGTCACTCAGCAGCAGCTTTCACCATATTTTTTATCACACCTTGTAAAAACATGACAGATTCTAGAACTGCCTCGGAAAGTTGCAAGAACGATGAGATAAGTGGGTTCAGGGACTTATCCTAAGTCCCTTAGCGGTCCTAATAGGGACTACTTTAAGGGAGATTAGTGGCAATCTGCCTTTCATTGTAATACATTTTGAAAATTTAAACATTCACTGTATATTTTGATCTCCCCTTGTGCAATGGATTCATCCAGTTTTCAGTGGCGAGTCTCTAGGTAGTGTGGTGGGAGCTGAGATTCCTTCAGAAGGAAGATATTTTCGTGGCTCCCAAGTCTCACCAGGGAGCCCTTGCTTGTACAAGAGCTCCTTAAACAACCATCTTGTGGCCCGAGCAGGATTCAGAAATCCTCAGGAATTCAGAAAGTCAGCAAAGGTCTAAATCTGTGTTTTATAACAGCAAAATTATTTGCACTGACTCAGGAATTTTCACTACTAAATTAACTTGAACTAGCCCTGCCTCCTGAACACACCCACACTGACCTATTTAGCTCTATATCACAGTGGCACACGTTTAAATTTTAAGCTCAAAAAAAAAAAAAAATTTAAGCTCCAAAGTCAAAAAGTTTAAAAGCTATTTTTACCATGAATTTAACTGCAAAACACAGTCATCTCTAGTCAAGAGAGGATACCTCATTTTGGGGGCTACCTTTGATTAAAAAAAAACCCTCAAGCATATATACTTGCAGCTCTGTAATCTTCTGGTGTTCATTCACGCTGTATAAGAAGTTTTCCTAGAAATAGTATTTGAAATTCTAACATGAGTAGAGCCAAGAAACTATATTACATGTTGAGTATCTCTTATTCAAAATTCTTGGGACCAGAAATCTTTTGGCTATCTTAGGTTTTGGAGTTTAGAATATTTGCGCATATATATGATAAAACATGTTAAGCACAGGACACAAGCCTAAACACAAATTTCATTTATGTTTCACATGCCCCTCATATACACCTATGTAGCTTGAAGATAATAAAATACCATATTTTTAGTTTGCCTGTATTTTTACTGTGACCTATCACATGAGGTCAGGTACAGAATTTTCCACTTGTGTTGTCATGCCAGCCCTCAATAATTTTTGGATTCATAATGCTCAACTTACATTATATCTAGGAAGTACATTCATGTATTTCCCACTTGTAGTTCACCCATAGGCTGTCTGTGAAGGGAAATTTTCCTGCTTGGGAAGGACAAGGCTCTTTGAAGTGATTTTAAGGATACAGCCGTCTACAAGACACACTGAAAATGAAAAGAAAGCTCACGAGGTGGTGAGAAAGCCTCCCATGAATTATAGTCCATGCGTGTACTTAAAATGTGTACAGTGTCCCAGCCCTCTCCCCGCCCCCCTGTTCTGTATTGTCTGATGTACAGGTTTAGACCAAGACAGAGCCATTGCCTTCCTGATACACATAATCAAACAACTGAAACTTCCGTGTCTACCCTCAGGGCCAGTACTTTACCTCCTTGCCTGTTTGGACATCCAAGGAGCTGGAGGTCGTTGGTTAAACCGAAGTGCAAGCAGCAGCCTTCTGCAGAAAGCATTCTCTACATCTTGCACTAGAGGCATGTGAGAGTACCTTTGCTAGAAAGCTTGGTTGGCTCCCTTCCCAGGCAGAAAAATCTGGAAAAGAACCTGAACTCAAAATTTACAGCGGAGTAAATACAAATAATGACTGATCACAACTAATCAGAGGCATACAAAATAGGAAAAGGGAAATTCTATGAAGCAAGCAAATTACAAGAGAGGGGATGCAATGGTAGGAACTCACCCGCCACCTGTGCAAATATAAAGGGTACAAACCTTTTAGCAAACAGCTTGGCAATGTAGAGCTTGGATCTGATGCCTATTCTTTTTGACCTACGACTCTATTCTAAGGAAATAACCAGAAATACAAACAAGCATTATATACAAAATGTTTGTTACCATGATTTGTTTTTAAGGGGACAAAAATTGAAAACATTTTAAATGTCTAAGATTTGAATATATTACTATATATCTTTAAAATGGAATATTTTAATCCTTAAAAATTAGATCTGTGAAACATTTTAGTAACTTGAAAAATCTGGATTAATATTAATATACAGTTTTTCTTAATTATTTAATGCACTATATTTGTCAATAGAATACTGAAAGGAAATAGACTAAAATGTCAATTAGTTGTCTCTGGGTAGTGACACTGTGTGTAGTTTTTGTTTTGTTATTTATTTTGTACTTTCCTGTGTTTTCCAAATTTTTCATAATAAACAGTTTCTAACATGTTGAATGAGGAGCACAACTACTGTACAAATGGAACAGTTTATATCATCTGGAGCATAATTATTGGAAGAGATAAGAATTTAAAGTAAGCATGATAAATGTAACAAAGAGGAAAGCTAACTTAATAGTAACAGTAAACAAGAAAAAGTAAATTATTATTATTGTTGTGCTAGAGATTGAATTCAGAGTTTCATGCATGCTATCACTCTTATACCCTAACCCCATAATAATTTTTTTTTAAGAAAACCTTAGTGGAAACATTAAGAATGAAGAAAGTAATAAATGAAAAAAGAAATAAATATATGGAATAAATAGCAGAATGGGTGCAATCCACAAAATGAATACAATCAAAGAACATATTGGGTCTGAAGATAAATTTGGGAGATACTCCCAAAAGCAGAAAGAAAAGAAAAATTCTGGTCCATGAAATCATTTCATTGGCTTTAACCATCATTAAAAAAAAGAAGAAGAGCAGAGCGAAGCAGAGTGGAATGGGACAGGATAAAATATAGAATGTAGTAGAATAGAATAGGAAAATACTATTGCATGACGCTTGGTGCTGAGAATTGTTTGTGACGCCTTTACTTCAGTTACTGTTGCATGTTTATGTGCATATGTGCACTGACTTGCTGTCTAAAATGAATCTCCGGGAGGGTCACAATAAGAAAAATGTTTGAAAGCTGCCATTTCAGAAGAATACATTTTGATATTCTTTTTCTGGAGCTCTGCTCATTAATTACTATCTCTCTTCATTCTCATCTCAGCTTTACAAGCTTGTTTCAACCCCTTGAACCTAAAAATGAAAAGAAACAGAAATGTTCCTCTCCCCATGCAAGTGCAAGCATGTGTCCACCCTTCTGTTCATCATCTAATTCTTCCAAAGCCTGGTTTGTCCCCACTGGTCCCTGCCATCTCTTAGTCGTTCCCCAGGTCCT